CAGGGAAAAGGAAGAGGTAAGGGGGTAGGGACAGGGAAAAGGAAGGGGGAAGGGACAGGGGGGAAGGAAAGGAAAGGGGCACATGGAAATGGGGGAAAGGGTCAGGGAAGGGGAAGGGGGGAGGGAAAGGGGTCAGGGAATGGGGGAGGGACAATGCTCACCATCGTGGGCGCTCGATGTCTTCGTGTAGTCGTTGTGTGATGGTGGTCTGGGTGCTTGTCATGGTGGGCGCTCGTTGTCTTCGTGTTGTCGTCACCATGTGATGGTGGTCATCAATGGGGTCGGATGGGTGCTCATCGTCGTGGGCGCTCGTCATCGTCATGTTGTCGTCTTTGTTAACAGGGTCAGTTGGGATGGAAGAGGGGGGGCACTCACTGTCGTTTGGTTGCCATGTCACTATCAGTGACGTGGCACCCTCTCATCGTCGTGACGTGGCCGTTCCATTGACCTGGTGGCGCATGTCATCGTCCATGGGCATAGTCGTCCGTTGAGGTGGCTGTGAGGGCAACATGGTCGTCCGTTGTTGTCTGTTTTCATCGTCTTGGCCTCGCTGGGGGCTTGTTTGTTGGTGACGTGGTGTTCTTGCGTTGTTCTTGATGTGTTGTGGGTGGTGGTGGCCACGGGTGATCGTGGTGACGTGGCGTTGGTCAGTGGGCGTTGTGGATGGTGTATGGTGGCAGCTATGGGCTGTTGCAAGTGGTGGTGGTGACTGGTGGTGGTGGTGGTGACGAGGCAACACTGGGTGTGGATGGTGGTGGGAAGAGAGAGGTTTTGGATTGTTGATTACTGTTGGCGCAAAATTCTCACTCGTGGAATTTGCCGACATCCGTTCTAGGAAAGAGGTCAGCCAGTTGGTATGTGGAGCATATATTATGTATCTATAGTAAAGCTGTTGTGGTGCAGCTGGTTAAGCACTACTAATGCACCTGTGCCCAAGAAGTTGAGGGTTCAATTCTACCAGGTTGTGCTTTTTATACATTATATAATAACAATAACAACAGTGACAAACTACCCCTTGTACCTGGACATTCCTACTGGACTCCACTATACCCATTCCTTAGGAATCCACAATTCCTTGTGATTTGGGACCATTCCAGTAGGAATTTACTAGGACTCCACTAGGACTGGAACACAAAATTTGTATGGTGATCAATTTTGGGAGTCCAGTAGGAATAGGTGGAGGAGTGTAAAGAGCTCATATAGCCATACAAATGTTTGAGTTTACTTTTGGAAAAAGATTGAGAGCTGTTTGCTCCTCCTCTCTGGTCATTCTAACTCCTTGTGCTCTCATAACTTCAGTTGCTTGATCATGAATAGAGAGCACTGTGGACTCATTGTGAGCTATTTGACCCTCATCATACCATTCAACCTGTGCATCATGTCATCATCCGTTGGGTGTCGTTTTCAGGTGTGGTGGAGGTGGGCACTCATTCGTCGTTGTCATGTGTGGGTCATCATTGTCGCATGTGGGTCATTGTTGTCGTGTGTGGGTCGTCATCTGTTGGGGTCGTCTTTGCGTACCGTTGGCATCATGGGCACTCTTTCTTCCTTGGCCCCTCGTTCCATGTTGGCGTGAGCATTGTTGGTGTGGGCGTCGTGGCCGTGGCCGTGGACATTGTTGGCATGGGCGGTATTGGCGTTGAAATGGCAGTGAGGGGAATTGAG